AGACAAAACCAAAAGGTGCCTTACTGACTTGCATGTATTTGAACCTGAATAATTACTAGATCTAGATCTAGATCTAATGGACTAATGAGACCTGTGTACTTAACTTAACAGGCTTGAGTCGACAGGCCAAACCTAGATCTAAGTACGGCTAGACTGGCAGTCTTGCCGTACTTAAGTACGGCTAGCCACTTCGATAATAAATTGTCTGTTAAAAATAATCATGAGTTATAGACTACCGCGTAATTCAGTAGTACCGTTTTACGTGTAACTTGGAATCTAAACCAGAAAGATGTTCATTGTCAGCCTCCTTCAGACCACAATCACAACACAAATAAGGAAGAGCGGAAGATGAATAGGCCTTGCGAGTCGGCGGGCTGGCTGAGGCTTTTGTCGGCGTCGATGGGAGTTATGTTTCCTTGGAAGTTTCTTCCAGGCACTGTGCTTCCAGGACAAGTTCTTTTTCGCAAAGTTTATCAAAAATATATAATTATTTGTGTTGGTAATAACAATACAAATATTATGATATATAGCTAAATTATGTAATTGTAATTCTCTCCTTCGTCTCGTTTGGTATCGTTCCGCTTTTCAAAAATTTTTCATACTTCATTTTTTTTTCTTTTCTTTTATTAGATTGGTGTTTCTGAGAAAATTCAAAGATAATATTTCACACATTGTCACGTCTTATTAATTATTGGCTGTCGAACGTTGTATACTGTCAGACTTCTTCAGGATCTCCTCGGTGGAAACTTTTGACTGTTTCATTTTCAATCTGGAGTGATGCAACAATTATTTTGAATATTGTTGAATTGAAGTTACCTTCAATGTAGTGTGGGTTTCCCTGTGATAAGTAATGTAACTGATTCCTGATTATAAGAATAATTAACCCCTCTATTTTAGGTATTTCTTTGGAAATAGAAGTCAACTAGCTTTGCTTGGTTGTATCCGTCAGTCATTGGGACAACTTTTGGAATTCAGCAGCTCTTGTTCTCTTGGTTAAGACTGTCGTCTGCAGACTAAAATAATCTCAACAGAAGCACCGGGCATCAACGGGGTTCAACTTAGAATAAATTAAAAGTAAATTAAAACATGAATAGCAACAAAAACACCTCCACCCCCCCCCCCCTTTCCCTCACGCTCACCATTAAACACATGCGCAATCCCTCGATATCTCCAATAGGGCTCAGCTGAGCTTAGAAGGGGTACTCTAAAGAAACGACCACCTGTACAAGACCATACCTGTGCAAATGACCTTTATACCCACTCTACGCCTTGCGGGTTTTTAAATTAATTAATTAATTAATTTATTTATTTATTTATTTATTTATTTATTCATAATGACACTTCCCGAGGGGACCACCTGTCTAAGATGACCACTTTTCTCATCGACATTGGATGAATCGCTTTTGAAGTGTTTGAGAGTACGGTACTTCAATAGAAAAAAATAATAGAACAAAAGCAAAACAACAACAACAACAACAAACAAACAAACAAACAAACAAAAAACTCATGAGATGATCGGCATAGGCCTTATACTCTCTGCTGGCGCTTCCGCTATAGCAATCCACGCGTTGCTGATCAGCTGAACACATAATATCATTACATTAAAAGGGTCAATAGATTGGGTTAAAATAAGCCAACGTAATTTTAGCTTTTCAAAGTATCTGTTTCTTTGTTCGATCCCTCTGAATGGTGGGATTGAACTTGATCTGTGGTTGCCTGTGGACCTTTCAAGAGTCTCGGTCCTTTCCAAGGACGTTTTTACTTTTACTATTTATAACCTCTGGTCTTTTCCAATTCGGACGTTGAAATCGGTATCCTGACCTATTAATTATCCGTAGCCAAGGAGTTTAGAACTAAACTTTTAATCTCCTTGTCCGTAGCCTATAGTGTGGAGAGAGGCGTAAAATCTCCTCGATTACCAAGGAACGGCCCATCATTTCGAAGCCTTGATCTAGCTGAGACGGAGAACTAAATAATTAAAATCATAACAGATAATTTGTTGTTGTTGTTGCTGCTGTTTGTTTGTTTGTTTTTGTTTTTTGTTTGCTTGTTTGTTTGTTTGTTGTTGTTGTTTTTTTGGGTGTGGGTGGTGGTAAGTGTTTTATGGCGCTCACAATTAACTGCATAAGGTCACATGAGAACGCGGGAACGTTAAATATTAAAATTTTTAGTTGGTAGGAAATTTCGAATTTTCCCCGGGTGGCGGCCGAAGTCTACTCTTTTGATCTTATCAATTTTGGACCACCAAAGGATCTTTAAGTTAACGTTGGCTGTTTGCACTCGTGCCTCCGAAATTTTCCACCCTTATCCGAGAAAGCTGGGTGTTAGATTATAGCTACCATAATATCAGGGTTGTGGCTGAACGACAGCAGCAAGAAGAAGCCAAGAAGAAACAGTAGAAAGGCAGCAGCAAGAAGAAGCCAAGAAGAAACAGTAGAAAGGCAGCAGCAAGAAGAAGCCAAGAAGAAACAGTAGAAAGGCAGCAGCAAGAAGAAGCCAACAAGAAACAGTAGAAAGGCAGCAGCAAGAAGAAGCCAACAAGAAACAGTAGAACGACAGCAGCAAGAAGAAGCCAAGAAGAAACAGTAGAAAGGCAGCAGCAAGAAGAAGCCAAGAAGAAACAGTAGAACGACAGCAGGAAGAGTCAGAAGGCCAGAAAAGGGGGCAAGGGAGGTGAGGTGGTGGGGACAGAAAGTGGAGACGAAAGCAGACGACATTGTTAGAGAGCAGAAGAGGGTGTAAAAGGATACAATTTTAGAGAAGAAAAATTTTCTTCGTTATCCGGATTCGAACACGAGATCTATTGAATGAGAGGCGAACACCGTAACCCTCTAGACCACGAGAGCCCCCCTAACAGATGGTTTGATAATACACATTCGAGTGCATTTGCATTTTTGAGTTATTTACGCCTACGCATAGGAATAGTTCATACAATTATGCCTGCCTTCAGCTGTGTCATCAATTTTTCCGCCCATGCTGACATTTTTTGAAAAATACGTTCTAAATAAGTGGAATTTCATAGGCGTAGATCTAGATCTAAACACCATTTTAGTTTTTTTTACATTACAATTACATCATTTCAAAACGTAATTCAATCTCATTTTCCCTATGCAGCTGGATACATGCACGACGGTTCCTCAAACCACCAGCTGTTTGTTTGTTGTTGCTTTTTTGTTTTTTGCAAGCTGTGGAGATGGAGAATGATTTTATAACAAAGGTCGAGTGGTATTTGTAACTGTAACGTTGTCAGAATTTGCCACGCCCCTGATGACACATTTGAGATAATTTAGAAGGCGGGTTGCTTCGACTCTGCCAGTTAGGGACAAGTCGGGCTGAGAGGTACACATTACCAAAACAGACAAACGGCTATGCATGTATTCGGTTAAGAAAACAAAACAAAACTATAAAACGACAAAAAAGGATACAAAAAGCCAACCCAAAATGATAACGACAGAAAAAAAAAGAAAGAAAAAAAAAGAAAGTAAGAAAGAAAGAGTAGAAAGAAAGTCAGAAAGAAACAAACAAACAAATTGCCTCGCCCGAGAACCAAACTCATGCGTATTGGTGATATACACCTGTTACATGACAGACGTTGCTAAGTTGATTCGGAACTATTACTGACTTTCTGAATTTGTTTTGTTTTGGTAAGTGTTTTACGGCGCTCGCAATTGCATAAAGTCATTATATGAGCGTGCGGGAAACATTAAACATTTTCAGTTAGGGAGGAATTAATTTAGAATTTTGCCCGAGTGGCAGCCAAGACCTACTCTTATCGACTTTGAACCACCAAGGGAACTTTAACGTGCGCAACTTGCACACGGTATTTCCGAGATTTTCCTCCCTTAATTGAGAAGGCTAAGTGTTAGATCTATTTTTTGTTTTGTAAAGTGTTTTACGGCGCTCGCAACTGCATAAGGTCATATGAGCGCGCGGGACACACCTAATATTTTCAGTCGGTAGGAAATTTTGGATTTTGCCCGGGTGGCGGCCGAAGCCTACTCTTATCGATTTTAGACCACCAAGGGATCTTTAAAATGCGTAACTTGCACAGGGGCTTTCCGAGATTTTTCGCCCTCGTCCGAGAAGGCTAGGTGTAGATCTTTCCTACTAGAAGATCAGGGGTGTGGCTGAAAGACAGCAGTAAGAAGAAGCGAAGGAGTAGCAGTAGAAAGGCTGCAGAAAGAATCAGGAGCCCAGAGGAAGGGGCAAAGGAGGTGAGGGGGGAGGGGTGGGGTGGGGAGAGGAGACGAAAGCAGACGACAGAACATTGCTAGAGAGCAGGAAATGGGGTGAAAGGAGACACAGAGAAGAAAATTTTTCGGTCGCTACCCGGGACCTTTTGAATGAGAGGCCAACACCTTAACCTCTAGGCCACGAGAGCCCCCAGTGTTAGATCTTACCTACCCTAAAATAAGGGGGTTGGCTGAAAGACGCAGTAAGAAAGAGCCAAGGCGTAGCAGTAGAATAAGGCTGCAGAAAGAATCAGGAGCCCAGAGGAGGGGGGAAAGGAGGTGAGGGCAGAAAGTGGAGACAAAAACAGACGATAGTAAGCGGTTAAAGATCAGGAAAGGAGGTGAGAAGAGAAAAATGTAGAGAATAAAATTTTCCGTCGCTGTCAGGTTTCGAACCCGGGACCAATTGAATGAGAGGCGAACACTGTTTAACATCTTGACCACGAGAGCCCACATATTTTCTGAATGACGAAGAGTTTAGTAGTACAAGTTTTACAGCGCTCGCAACGGCATAAGGTCATAATATGAGCGCCAGAAGATAAGAGGTGTTACAAGAGAGTAACAAACATAAAAACAGAAGAAGGGGAGATAAGGACGATAGATGTTTGATAGGAAAGAAGGAGCAAACCACACCAGAGCACCCGCCAACCACCCACAATGACGAAGACGACAACCCCGTTATGCGTCTACAGACAACATTATACCAGCAACCTGCAGTGTGGCGGTCATACACTTCAGCTTCAGCCCTTGCTCTCAGAAGACATTGTTTTGTTTTAGTAGAGGTTTTACGGCACTCGCAACTGCATAAGATCACATTAGCTCCAACGAGGAGACATTGTTTGTTTTGTTTTAGTAGAGGTTTTACGGCACTCGCAACTGCATAAGGTCATATGAGCTCCAACCAGGAGACATTGTTTTCTTTTAGTAAAGGTTTTACGGCACCCGCAACAGCATAAGGTCATACGAGCGCCAATCAGGAGATATTGGTTCGACTCCCAGGCGGGGCGGATTTTATCGAGTATCTCTGTCTGTCTGCTGGGACTTTTTTGGGGGTTTTTTTTAGTAGAGGGTTTTACGGCGCTCGCAACTGCATAAGGTCATATGAGCGCTAAGTGGTGGGTGTCATCAGAGAAGTCTTTACAGGGAATCAGACTTACTCTGATCTGCTCACCTCTCTAGATTCAACAGCACAAGGCCTGCTTCTACTATCAAGGCACCCCGGAAATAGCGAGTCACAAGAGTGTGACAAACATACAGAAGAAGTAGAGGAAAATGACAATAGTAAGGATTATGAAAGAAAAAGCAGCAGTTCCCTGTTGTAGATCAGGCACAGTTATGGGCGTGACATTGATGAATCAGCCCATTTACAATTTTACTGTGCTTGAACGAGAAATGTCCCTCCTTTGGGAATGGCCTAAAGACACTACAGTCAATGGCACTGTTCGGGGGTGGGCGTTGTTTGGCCCTGACAGGCATGGTAAAAGCAGCACGCCTCCAAAATGATTTTAATTTGTGTCAATCGGCGCGTAACACTGTACACAACTACATCATTTTCTATCAAATAGACTTTGTCACGGAAGGCTCACAACACACGGCTTTTAACGCTATCCGTACGGCCTGGGGTCATTTTGTACCCCGGGGTCGTATTCTTCACGTTTTAGAATGCTTCTAGCGCGAAGATTTCTTTGAAAATTTCAGTTTTTCTACACCAAAAAAAAAATCATCCTGACAGACGTCTATGTAAAGTGTACGGATCGGATTAACGAATAAATGTCCTCTTTGGAAAGAGGTGGCACAGAGTTCCCCACGTCGGTTGGATATGATAGTAAAACATGACGTACGGATAGGGTTAAAAAATTGTGTTTTTACATCCCCGTGGACACAATGATTGGGGTGGAATCAGGCGCTCGTCAAAATAATGAAATAAAAGAAGCCAGGATTTTTCAGCTCGAAGAACAATTTTCTTTGTTTTTGTTTCTTATTAATATTTTAGTTTTGCTCAACACCTAGACCTTTTAAGTCCATTTAAAAACGTATTTCTGTGTGGATTTTACTAAAACACCTTGATATAAAGCACAAAAACTACCGTTGCAAGTTTCCAAGGACATTCAAGCTTTGGAAGTCCCCAAACTTTGGCGGCTATTTTCTCTGAAATCAGGCGACTCCCACCTACATCATGGGCAAATCCCGACTTCTATTCAAGATAAATGGGTGCTTTTCAAATAAAAAACATCAGAAATATAGAAGTTTTTAAGATTATACCAATAACTCCAGGGAGCTCTCGCAGTCTAGAGTTTACGGTGTTTGCCTTTCATTCAATAGGTTCCGGGTTCTGTAGTCTGCTTTCGTCTCCACTTTCTGACCCCCCTCCCCCTTTTGCTCCCTCCACTGGGCTCCTGACTCTTTCTGCAGCGTTTCCACTGCTACTCTGTGGCTCCTTCATACTGCTGTCTTTCGGCCACACTCCTGATCTTATGGTAAGTAAGATCTAACACCTAGCCTTCTCGGATAAGGGCAAAATTTTTTGGAGGTCCCGTGTGCAAGTTGCGCACGCTAAAGATCCCTTGGTGGTCCAAAATTCGATAAGAGTATGCTTCGGTCGCCATCCGGGCAAAATTCAAAATTTCCTACCAGCTGAAAATGTTCAATAATGTTCTGCGCGCTCCTATTAATAATAATAATAATAATAATAAATAGCATTTGCATAGCGCATATCCCCGCTCAACAGCAGGCTCTATGCACTTTACACTATAATATTATTATCCCAGCAGACCATAGAACACTCCCAAACATGCTCAGCTTCCCGGGAAGCATACAGTGCAAGCAGCTGATTAAGCCCTCAAACACTAA